GCTTCGAGGGACTGATAGCCATCTCCCGAGACAACTGCTTGCCTTGCGCTCCATCACTTCCACTTTTGTCAATGGTACGTCGTACACCAATAGAGGCCATAGTACACGAGGTAGAATTCCATGCTGATAGATCCAGGCCTTGTATTTTCCTGGCAGACCACATCTGTCTATTGACACTAGCCACTTCTCCAGCTGTTCCAATGTATCATTGACATTCTTAGTATCATCAAAATACTTTCCCAGACATTTGACTGGTTTCTCGGAGACTGTTGGAATAATGTCCTCTCCAATCTTGAAAACCTCTCTGCTTACTTTCCCTTTCCTTAATACCATGCTCCTGGACTTTCCTGGCTTGAATCTCATCCGAGTCCAGCTGATGATATCCTTTATTTCCTCGAGAGTCCATTTTGCCTCCATCACTGTCTTGGTACTGATGGTCATGTCGTCCATGAATGCTCTCAACGGCGGTTGCTGCACACCTCCTTTCATCCATGGCCCTCTACTCATCTTCTCGACTGACTTCACCATTAGGGTCACAGCTTCTGAAAACAGGATAACTGACACAGTGCAACCTGTAACTATCCCCACCTCCAAGCGCTGCCACGATGTTGTAAAATCTCGTAGGGTGAACCTTAACTGAAGTCTGTCAAAGTAATCTTCCAACAGATGTCTGGTCTTCTCCGGAACATGGTAACGCTCGAGGGTCAGCTGGACTAGCTTATGAGGCATCGACCCATATGCGTTGGCTAAATCCAACCAGATCACTGCCAGCCCTCCCTTCTGTTTCCTTGCTTCCCGAATAATCTGTGATAGGACGCTTGTGTGTTCGACACATCCCGACACGCCTGGGACTCCTCCTTTCTGCACCGATATGTCTATATGGTCAGCATGTATTTTGCCAATATTGCAAGGAAAATCTTCCCCTCGATGTTTAGTAGGGAGTCCGAAACTGGTTGAGTAACTCAGAATTCTCTTCTTTTGGTATGAAGCATCCTTCCGCTTGGTGCCAGGTATCAGCTAAACGTCCTCTTCTCCATACAATTCTCGGGTACTTTCAGAGTCTAACTGTCAGTCTGCTACAGTTCTTATAAACTTTATAGGTCACTCCATTTGGCCCTGGAGATGATCCTGCCCTGGCCTTCCTGATGATTTCCCTCACTTCCTTGAGTTTCGGTTCAGACTCGTCGAATGGTTGCTCCGGTTCTTCAGGGCGGATTAGCTTCTCATAGTCAGATAGATCCTCGTTTCTCATTGGGTCGCTATGCATGTCCATCAAGTGATCCTCCACATCTTCCTTTCTAGCTGTCAACGTTCCTGATCCTTTCTTACCCAGCAAACGTGATGTGAACTGAAAGGGGTTGGCTGTAAATCGTGCTCTTGCCCTAGCCCTTTCTTTCCTCCGTCTTATACTCCTCTCGGCCCTTCTCAAGATTTTAAGCTTCTCTCGAGCTCCAGATCTCAGTTCTGCCAATGCTGACTTTTCCTCATCTGATGCTAACCTGTATTGCCTTGCCAATTGTCTCAGATCTTTCCTCAGTTTTGCAATCTCTTGTTGTCTCCTGCTCTTATTGACTGATCTTCCTTGCTGTTTTTGTTCTTCCAGTCCAAACCTATCGAGTCCTACGTTGTATATGATAGCTGACATTCCCTCTACCTTCCTGTCTACCCCTCCTGCTGATGATGCAGCCAGAATGGCATCCACGTCTTCGTCAAACTTCTTCAATTCTGCCTTGCTGTTACTTGGTGGCCACTTGATCTTTCCTTTCCTGCCGCTATGATCCGGTCCCTGTCTAGTTTGTTCTATGACCGGTGCTTGTTGCCCATGATCTTCCTCTAAGACCTCACTGGGTGTGTCCTCTTCATTGTCTGGCTCATGGACGCTGTAGTCGCTGTGGTTTGAGTCCTGGACTACCTCCTCCTCCGTCTCATCAGGTTGCCCTGTGCGTTGTGCCAGCCGCAGAATCGGTGCACATCCCATTTTGGTCATGTGGATCTTCAATCCCCTTTCGTTCTTCCACAACTGCATGTGCTTCCGGTGTTCAAGCTCAATGTCCTTGGTCGGTCCGGTGTTGTATCCCTTGAATCCTCAAGATAAGGTCGCTCATCCTCCCCCGCTCTCGCGCGACCTCGAGGGTATCTCAATACGTATCTGTCTATAGTGAATAAATAAGGTTCTTCCTCGCGAAAGATGTCTTTTGGCCTGCTAAGCCTCCAGACCCTTGGATGAAAATAACCTACAACCGCATAAATGATTAGTCCTTATAACTACTTATAGTCATACTGGACCTCCTTGTATAACACCAGGTTGAGTGACAAAGGTACCCTAACAAAATGATAAACACTTGCTACATGAGAATTTTAAATGAAAATAATCATATACCAGCCTAAAGTACATATAATATCCGTTATTTTGATACCATATATGTTCTATTGGCATAAAAAATGTAAGCATATTGATAACTTTGATTTAAATAAAAATGCAAAGTTTTCACAAAATAAAGAATATATCAAAGTTTGTCAAGTTCATATTGTATAGTTGCAATCTCAGTCTTTAAAAAAAAAACTTTCTACGTATATATGCTCTCTATTGAATAAATTTTAAGTGATTTCAAAACCGGTTAAATATTATTTTAGCAATTTAAACATGCTTATTGCATAATTCGCCATAATCATGAAGATTTAATTTTCATTGTTTTTTTGTGTCAAATACTGCTATATTTTCCAGTTTTGTGTAGTACCAAAGCACATTACGTATTTTGTATTTGTTTTAAATATTCAGTAGAACTTAACATGGTGTTTTCTGCACTAGAAATCTATCCTCTAAAGAACTGAAAAATTAGTTTGCATTATAAAAACTTAACAATGATTCAATAATCAGTATTACTAACAACATGTTATCATCATTCCACTTTTCTTCGTTTATCATTAAACATAACAATGATGGATATAATTCAGTTAGATATTTTAATTGATAATTAATAAATGAGGCCAGAAATGATAACCTTGTCTGACACCTGAATGTGCAAGAATCTTAATTTCCTGAAACATATAAAGGTATTACTATAAAGTATTCATACCATTTTTGCTAAGTATCTAGAAACAATTACATAGATAAAATTACCCTTGTGTCGGACATTCTGTATTAAAATCAAATTGCTGCAAATCCCCCATCAAGTTTATTAATAATCATGCCAGACGTGTGCATAAGTCGTGGTTGCAAAACCAGGTTGAAAGATTTATCTCAAGGAGCCCGAGCTCAAGTAAGACATGTATATTTCCCCCAGTATAACTGGCTGCACCAGCCACTGACTGCTGAGATCATTAGCGTAACAGAAGAAAGCATACCATGTGGAAAGTGCTACAAGCGGTACCTCAAGCAAAGGCCATTGCAGTCTGAATTGTATGAACCTTCTGATATGAGCACTCCAGATGACCTGGCGAATGATGCAGATGATGCTTACACTGATTTCATGTCATCCAACCAACTACCACTAATCTCTGTTGAGAAATTATTTTATTGTGGCATTTCACATAAAAGATGTGTCGTGTGGAAAAGAGGGCACTGGACTATACCCCAGCGTGCCGGGACAAACTTGATATTTTTCCATTTTTTATAGTGTCTTAAAAGCATGGAGCCAGACCATTGTGCCCCGTTTCCTTGGTCCGAGACACATAACCGGCGAGGACGCGAAGTGCCACAACACTGCCTTTACAAGATGTTTCTACGGGGACAAAGTAACTGTAATTCTTGATGGTACCTATATTTATGTCCAAAAAAATGCTGATCGCCCCTTTCAAAGATCCTCATACTGTGGGCAAAAGAAGCGCAACTATGGAAAATTCATGAGCATTTTCTTTCCAGATGGTTATGTACTAGACACTATTGGACCTGTTGATGACAATGAATATGATGCAAATATCTTGGAACAGTTGAGAACCTGACCTTGTAGCTCAGTGAAGATGACAATGTGATTGTTGACCGGAGGTTCAGGGATGTGTTGGAGCTGCTGCGAGGTTCAGGGTTTTCTGTGTACATGCCTTCCTATCGTCTGTCAGGTCAGAGACAGCATGATACACTTACTGCCAACGAGGACCGCCAGTGTACTAAGTCAAGATGGGTTGTGGAGAGCTACCATGGTCGACTGAAACAGTGGAAACTGTTCAGAGAACAACTCAGCTCAAACTACTTCCTTAGTGTCATAGAGGAACTGGTTAAAGTAGCTACTGCTTCCTTGAATGCTGTACATGGACCAGTTTATATGTCCACACCAGAGAGGGACTTGAAGGACTGTCTCCTTGCTGAGCGAATGCAATCCTGTTTGGCTCTGCCCAACACTTTGGCCTAAGGGGTTGCAGATGAACCTGACCTTTCTAGGTGCAACAAGGCTAACTTGGTGAAACTTATTGCCTGTTTGATAGAGTTTTCAGTGCTGGATATGGAATATTTAGAAACAATTACCTGCGGATCATACCGATTGAAAGTAGCACCCATTTGACTCCTGCTGGAGACTTTGAAGTTTGGGTCTATCAGCATGATGAAAATCTTCTCCAAGGCCAAATCCATTCAAGGCACAAACCACAGTCAAAATACAATGTTTGGATTGCGTTTGACAGAAATGATCAAGATGACCCTGTCAAAGATTACTACTGTGTCTGTACAGCGGGCAAGCGAACCGTTGAAATGTGTGCACATGTTGCGTGCATTTTGTATTCCTTGAGCCATGTTCAGCACTAAGATCAAACTAACCCAGTCCATGCAATACTCAAGTTCAAACAAGCAATCACTTGAGCATTTCTTCTATACTAAAACGCCATGTAATGTGCTGCAAACTGCAACTGTTCGATCTCTTATTAGCTTATCAAAGTGCCACAAATTATGGATCGGAACTAACAAAGGCAAAACCCCTCACTACTACTGTACATAATCTATCTTATAAGGTCACTTTATTGACCTTCATCAAAAGATTTGTATAAAGCTAATAACTAAATCTTCAAATTGATAAACTTGCACAAAAATGTCTTTATTTTAACAAATTCATTTGTCTGACCTTGAACAGAGGTCAAATTCAGCAATGTTAACCAAACTGATAAAAATTGACATGAACAACCACCTTGTCAAATAGCAACACCTACAGACTTTCATTCATTTAGCTGTCACTTTTTATCGAAAATGAAAAAAATCAGTGTTTCTTGGATTTTTTAAGCACATGTGTAAAATGACACATTTACCAGTTTTCATTTTTTCCAAGAATTCTCCTTTTGAAAGATATCATCTGTGGCAAACTTTTAAGCAAGTATGAGAAATAGACTGGTTTTGGAAGTATGAAAATTGAAGTGTCCAAAACAGTACTTTTCTCAAAAGCAATGGCTTTTTATATGAATTTTGGCTGCATTTTTCAACATAAAAGAAATGTTTCTCCTGAAATAGTGTAATATGTGGTATCAAAATGTTGGTTGGTACAATGTGCACACATTAATGACATAATTTTTTTGGAATTGCACCATAATAATGCACTAGAAGGAATTACATAACAACTACTTTAACACCCACCAAGGTGTTAGTCAAGGAGCTATCATTTTATAGGAAATCAATTCCGATACTTACTTTTCTGTACTTAAGCCAATGCTAATGTCAAATTGCCATATATATTGACCACACCTTTCATTCTAATACTAAGAAAGATATTATAGACATTTCATGGTGTTAATGTATGTGTGATATTCAGAAGGTTTCAATACACAAGAAAACAATATATTTTTTGAAAATACTACAAAAAAGTAATTTTCATATTTTTTTAACAAACTTTTTTCTACTTCGGCACAACATTAAAATTTAAGGTAAAAAAGCAGGCAAAGTTAACCAGTCCTACAGGAACTGATTTATTGACTTTTCAATTAAACGCCTAAACACTCATTACAACAAAAACTGCTGCTCAAATTATCAGCCAGGTTACAAAGTGTAGGGAAATCATGACAACTACATGTATGATGACATCAATCTCTAAGGTAAGAAAAAACTAATTTTCTATTTATTTAACATCAATACAAACTACAGCAATTCATTACAACACACATCATAGTAATAATATTGATACTCCATCTCCTCCTATACTAGCTGACAGCGAATATAAGAAAATTGTTAGCTGTAATGTTGTCAGAGCTACAACATTAAAGCTACATACAATTGAACACAATTACTAGGTTTAAGGTATTACTCAAGCATTTCTACCCGTTTCATACACGAGTCACTCTGTCTTAGTAGACTCCTTGCATCAGTGTACTTACCTACAGTATCAATTGTTTGAAGTAAATGGTACACACAGATTTTAATCTGACAAAAACATTATGAATGCTAAACTGTGAACAAAAAAAGCATCCAGAATACTGGAAGTGAAAAAACTTATTGTTGGAAAGAGTGTGTATAATATATACTTGCACAATACATACATTCCATGTGTATTATAATTTTTTTGTAAATAATAATGAAGAGATTACACAAAGCTTTTAGTGTGATGTTTGTACATTGTATGCATTTTGAAAAGGAGAGGTGATCAGAATATGTTTGCAAATTTGTTTGAATCATTACATAAGGGATCACACTTGTTATAAGACAATTTGAATGATGTTGATGCATGAATATTAAAGTGTGTGATCCCATATATGTAAACAGAAGATAGGTTTAAAGCTTAATGGCATAACAGGTAAGAATGTTCATCATTGATATATTTACTGCTGAAGCACTAGTATTGCACATTTTATATAAAAGAACTAAATGTATTTGCAAATGAATTTAGTTAACAGGATATAAGCAATTATTTTCACACTAGTCTACACAAATATCCAGGTTTCCAAGCTTTATCCATACAAAAATATGATTGCGCATAGATGCAGTTTCAACAAATATTGCAAAATATGGGATTCTAAGTGTCCATAATGATAGCATTTACAGCACTGTGAGTCTCAGTGGCCATAGCAACAGCACTCGCCTCTGTGGCAGCTTTGTCAGCTGTAGAACTTCCTTCTCGCTCATGGTATTCCTTTACCTCCCGATCATATCGTTCTTTCTCCTGTTCATACAAGTCATAGAATACCTGTAATCATGAACAAATAAGTATTTATCATAACCGGTAAAATGGTACTCATTTCAACTTTGGTGTCAGATCAAAGACAACTTAGTTACACAACATCAGTAACTTTACAGAGAAAAGTTTTAAGCATTTAATTATTTAGTATGTGTATAGTATCTAAATTTGACCTCTTCAATTACTGTCAGCATACTTCAATTACTCTTTCTCCTTCTAACATGTCTTTTAAGCCTCCCTTGAGAGGCAATGACAGTACCAGTATCATTGCGCAGTGTTTGAGGAAAGTGACTCATTTTGATTCCATAACGAACAGAATAGATTTAGTGCAGTATTCCCAGTGACATATTGCTGATTATTGTCTATTATCCTAATGAAACAATCACATTCCTTGAATTCACTGAATGTTTGTTTCATGGGTTTATTTGCTGTGAACAACCAGCATCATCTGGGGCAACTCCTCTAAGTAGCTGGTAGACGCTTATCTGAACAACAGACAGGGGCTGTTGCATGACACCCAGAGCAATTAGGGTAAAGTGTCCTGCCCATGAACACAATCAACATATACCAGTCAGTTTCTCATATTCCTATGAAACACAAACTGCCAAACACAGGGATTGTCAAACTTTAACCATGGATCTTTACCTGAGGATGTGTAGGACAATTAATTCTCTACAACATAAGGCATAATTGCCCTCAAAGCCTTGGAAAGAAAGATATTGGTGTTCCTAAAACAACAACTCACCCTAACAACAACTCACCCTTTTTTGTTCCAGGTTAAGACTGTTCCACAAGTGAGCTAATCTTTTAGTTAACTCATGATTGGAAATTTCCTCTTTGTTTTCCTGTGATAATCAATTATAAGAATTGTATTAACTGTATATAAATACATTTACATAATCTGTATGTCTATTATTACAAATATATAGATATACACCAACAACCAACTGATGCTATCCTTCAAGCATTTCACTTCCCCCACCATCTCCTTTTCCCAATTACAGCATCCATAATTTTCATTTTTAATGTTTCAAATGCACAGAAATAAAGATGTGTTGCCTACAAAAACATTATCATGCTGAAATGTTGGTCAGTGTCTGTGGTTCATCATAACAGCTGTTCAGTGTGTGAGAGTACAAGAAAAGCTTCAACCGAGACAACTGTTTTGTATGCAAGAGTTCATGGACAGTTTGAACCATGAGAGCTGTTCTGTGTATGAGTACAAGGAAAGTTTACACCATGACAGCTGTTCTGTGTATGAAAGTACAAGGAAAGTTTACACCATGACAGCTGTTCTGTGTGTAAGAGTACAAGGAAAGTTTAGACCATTACAGCTGTTCTGTGTATGAGAGTACAAGGAAAGTTTACACCATGACAGCTGTTCTGTGTGTGAGAGTACAAGGAAAGTTTACTCTATGACAGCTGTTCTGTGTGAGTAAAAGGAAAGTTTACACCATGACAGCTGTTCTGTATGCGAGAGTACACAGAATGTTTACACGATGACAGCTGTTCAGTATGCAAGAGTACAAGGAAAGTTTACACCATGACAGCTGTTCTGTATGTGTGAGTACATTGAAAGTTTGAATCATGACCCATGTTCTGTGTGCCGGAGACATGGAAAGTATACACCATGACAGCTGTTGTGCATGCAAGAGCACAAGAAAAGTTTACACCATGACCACTGTTCTGTAAGCGAGAGTACAAGGAAAGTTCACACCTTGACAACTCTTCTGTGTGCAAGAATACAAGGAAAATTTACTCCATGACAGCTGTTCTGTATGTGAGAGTACACAGAATGTTTACATGACAGCTGTTCTATATGCGAGATTACATGGAAAGTTTACACGATGACAGCTGTTAAGTATGCAAGAGTACATGGAAAGTTTGAACCATGACAGCTGTTCTGTATTTGAGAGTACACAGAATGTTTACATGACGACAGCTGTTCTGTTTGCGAGATTACATGGAAAGTTTCCACGATGACAGCTGTTCAGTATGCGAGAGTACATGGAAAGTTTGAACCATGACAGCTGTTCTGTATGTGAGAGTACATGGAAAGTTTGAACCATGACAGCTGTTCAGTATGCGAGAGTACATGGAAAGTTTGAACCATGACAGCTGTTCTGTATGTGAGAGTTCATGGAAGGTTTGAACCATGACAGCTGTTCTGTATGTGAGAGTACATGGACAGTTTTAACCATGACAGCTGTTCTATATGTGAGAGTACAAGGAAAGTTTGAACCAAGACAGGTGTTCTGTATGTGAGAGTTCATGGAAGGTTTCAACCATGACAGCTGTTCTGTATGTGAGAGTACATGGACAGTTTTAACCATGACAGCTGTTCTATATGTGTGAGTACATAGAAAGTTTGAACCAAGACAGCTGTTCTGTATGTGAGAATACATGGACAGTTTTAACCATGACAGCTGTTCTGTATGTGTGAGTAAATTGAAAGTTTGAATCATGACCCCTGTTCTGTGTGCCGGAGACATGGAAAGTATATACCATGACAGCTGTTCTGCATGCAAGAGCACAAGAAAAGTTTACACCATGACCACTGTTCTGTAAGCGAGAGCACAAGGAAAGTTCACACCTTGACAACTCTTCTGTGTGCAAGACTACAAGGAAAATTTACACCATGACAGCTGTTCTGTATGTGTGAGTAAAGGAAAGATTACACCATGACAGCTGTTCTGTGTGTGTGAGCACAAGGAAAGTTCACACCTTGACAACTCTTCTGTGTGCAAGACTACAAGGAAAATTTACACCATGACAGCTGTTCTGTGTATGGGTACAAGGAAAGTTTACAGAATGACAGCTGTTCTGTGTGTGAGTACACAGAAAGTTTACACCATGACAGCTGTTCTGTGTGTGTGAGTAAAGGAAAGATTACACCATGACAGCTGTTCTGTGTGTGTGAGTACATAGAAAGTTTATTCCATGACAGCTGTTCTGTGTGTGAGTACACAGAAAGTTTACACCATGACAGCTGTTCTGTGTGTGTGAGTACGTAGAAAGTTTACACCATGACAGCTGTTCTGTGTGTGTGAGTACATAGGAAGTTTACTCCATGACAGCTGTTCTGTGTGTGAGTACACAGAAAGTTTACTACATGACAGCTGTTCTGTGTGTGAGTACACAGAAAGTTTATTCCATGACAACTGTTCTGTGTATGGGTACAAGGAAAGTTTACAGAATGACAGCTGTTCTGTGTGTGAGTACACAGAAAGTTTACACCATGACAGCTGTTCTGTGTGTGTGAGTAAAGGAAAGATTACACCATGACAGCTGTTCTGTGTGTGTGAGTACATAGAAAGTTTACTCCATGACAGCTGTTCTGTATGTGAGTACAAGGAACGTATACACTATGCCAGCTGTTCTGTGTGTGTGAGAACATAGAAAGTTTAAAACATGACAACTGTTCTGTGTGTGAGAGTAGATGGAAAATTTGAAACATCACAGCTGTTCTGTATGTGAGAGTACACTGAAAGTTTAAAACATGACAACTGTTCTGAGTGTGAGATAACAAGGAAATTTTGAACCAAGACAACTGTTCTGTGTGCAAGAGTACATTGGAAGTTTGAACCATGACAACTGTTCTGTGTTCCAGAGTACATAGAAAGTTTGAACCAAGACAGGTCTTCTGTATGTGAGAGTACAAGGAAAGATTGAACCAAGACAGCTGTTCTGTGTGCAAGAGTACATGGAAAGTTTGAACCATGACAGCTGATCTGTATGTGAGATTACATGGAAAGTTTGAACCATGACAGCTGATCTGTATGTGAGATTACATGGAAAGTTTGAACCATGACAGCTGATCTGTATGTGAGATTACATGGAAAGTTTGAACCATGAGAGCTGTTGTGTATGTGAGAATACACTGAAAGTTTTAAACATGTCAACTGTTCTGTGTTTGAGAGTACAAGGAAAGTTTGAAACATCACATCGGTTCTGTGTGTGAGATTACAAGGAAAGTTTGAAACATCACAGCTGCTCTGTGTGTGAGATTACAAGGAAAGTTTTAATCATGACAGCTGTTCTGTGTGTGAGATTACAAGGAAAGTTTTAACCATGACAGCTGTTCTGTGTGTGAGAATACAAGGAAAGTTTTAACCATGACAGCTGTTCTGTGTGTGAGAATACAAGGAAAGTTTGAACCAAGACAACTGTTCTGTGTGTGTTAGTACAAGGAACGTTTACACTATGACAGCTGTTCTGTGTTACAGTGTACAAGGAAAGTTTGAACCATGACAGCTGTTCTGTGTACAGTGTACAAGAAAAATTGAACACCCTGACAGCGGTTCTGTGTGTGAGAATACAAGGAAAGTTTAAACCATGACAGCTTTTCTGTATGCGATAGTACAGGGAAATTATGAACCATGATATGTGTTCTGTTTGCAAGAATACATGAAAAAGTTGAAACTAATTATAATTATGGAAAGTCACAATATTATATGATGATGATTCAAGTACATATATATCTGCATATTTTCAATTTTATATATTGTTAACCTTCAATGTTCAAACAATTGCATTTTTAAGTACTTAAATTTCCTCTTTACAAAATATGTAATACAAATTCTGGGTCATTTGCCTAATTGGGATAATTCTGGCTGCAATGATAGTCTGCTGTCTGACCTTGAAGTAAGTCTCCTGGACAGTTGTTCTCTGCTGCTGACAGAACATAAGGAAGGCATTTGCTGGTTTTTTAGGAGCACTTGGGTCCTTTTCCTTGTCAGCCTTTCCCTTCTTTGACTTTGCAGAAGATGTTGCTGTAGGACTACCATGGGATCCTACTTCGGCCATTCCATGGGCAGCCAGGATTGGATTTATTGAAGATAAAATCTCAGCCACTGGACGCTCCTGTTTGATCTTCGGTGGGTTTGTTTCCGGAATGAGCTCACCTCCATTTTTTGTCGGTCGAATCCTTTTGAAAATCTGATCCTCCTTAATGAAAATATTTCAATAATAATTTGCTTTGAAATGATTCCTTTGCTCATTTTATATTATACAGGCATCAAGACCTTAGAAATTCCTGTTAATTGCAGCAATTTACAGGACTCAGATATTTGAGTCCTGGACCAATGTTTTCCTTGTGAGGCTCTGCATAACTATGTGGTCAAACTATATCACTTAGTCATGGGATTCATCATAATGTTGGAAATTGTGTTCTGGACTCACATTTAACACTCCGACAAAAGGGGCTGTGTTGGATTGTCATATAATCAAATTCTGCTGGGACCCTGTTTTTGTTTGCAGAACTTGCAGAACTTAATTTGAAAAAACACTAGAGGTAAAATATTTTAAATACCTGTACTTATTTCCCTGTAATAAGCTCACACCTCCTCACAAAGGAGGTTAGAAGAACTGTTTTTGCAAAAGTAAATTCTCTTCACCAAGGATGTCTTCAGTTCCAACAGAAGGATTTTCAAGAATTTGCTCTACTTAAACTATTCCGCTTTGCCCCTCCAACCCCAAGGTCCAGAAGCCAAGCATAGCTCAATGATTTGAAAGAATTTGCCCCGTTTCCTCTATTTGGTCATGCCCATCCCACCCTAGTGGGACCCAAGATCCAGCGTTTATAAAAAACTGAATCCCTTTCACCCATGCATGCTTCAGGCAAAATTGGGACAACATTGTGGTATTTCTACAGAAGAAGAAAGATTTTAAACAATCTGCTCAATTCCCCTACTGGGCCCCACTTTTTTACCCTCACCCAAGAGGGCAGAAACCCAAGATTATTCAAAACTAATTCTTCTTCATAAAAGGATCCTTCAGACCAAAACCCAATTATTCCTACAGAATGCGAAGGATTGTCATGAATTTTCTAAATTTCCCCTATTAGATCCCATAAATAAATTGATTCCCCCACCCAAGAATGCTCCAGACTAAATTTGGACAAAATGCAATCATTCCTAATGATGGAGAATAATTTTGAAGAGTTGTTCTTTTTCCCTTGTTGGGCCCAGCTGCTTCTGCCACTATGGGCTGAATCAAAACATTTATACAATAATGAACCTCCTTCAAGAAAGCATGCTTCTGACCAAATCTGGACAATATCCTGCAATTCCTGAAGAACAAGATAGATATTTAAGAAAATAATACATTTTTTTCCACGGGGCCCTGCTCCTCTAGCTCCAGACCCACAGCTCATACGATACTTCTTTCCCTTCACCGAAGCATGCTTCTGACCTAATTTTGATAATATCATGCTATACTTGAAGAATGATTGGGCCCTGCACTTAAGCCACAGAGGGACTAGATCCATGGTTAATGCAAAAATTAATACCCCTTCCGCTAAGAATGCTTCAGACCAAGTTTGGTTAAAATCTGCTCAGGCTTTTACGACCAGTAGTGATTTATTGTTTTTGTTTTTAATCTGAAAATGTACATACAGTGAAACCACACCTAACGACCACCTTAAAATTATGACCATCCTGCTAACATGGGCACTTTTTTTAGACTCGCTTCAGTATCACGACCACCCTGCTATTCCGTATTATGACTACATCTTACAGTCTTAACGACCACTAATTAACGGTAATTGACCTCACAATTATGACCAAGCGGTGACCAGTGATTAAAGTTTACCTAATGGGCAGAGAACTGGGAGCATGTGTGTTGATCTTGACCATTGTTTTCGTCACGGGTTACCGGCCCTGTCACCAGGTGGCGTTACACAAAGTAAACATCAGTAGCAGATCAACTTGGCCTACCCTTGTGAAACGGTGTGCCAGACATGTTTTAATAGTGATCTACTGTTTGTTAATTATGCATTGATAGATCTGTAAGTAAGCTGTAAAACGTCTTAGAAGCCCTGCATACCAATTGTGAATTATGTCATTTTTTCAGCTGATATTCCTTCGCTCATACACACACTCTTTGTTAAGGAATTTTAAACTGTTTTTGTTGCTAAATTTCACTTTCAACATTGTCTGACCAATCACACAAACATGTATCTATTCCAAATTTTTTACGACATATTTTCACTGTAACAACACTCAGATGAACTTTATTATCCAATGACGACACCATGTAAATGAAACTAGCTATCGCTAAAAAGGACTGTATGGAAGAGGAGGATGTCCAGATCCTTCTTCATGACAGTGTACACTGGACTCTTTTTCTTAAAGTAAAATGACAAATGTGTTGCACTGAGTGATACACTAAAAGAGTTAATGTGTTTGCAAATTTATGTGAAAAATGAAGCTATGAAAGACTTTATAGTGACTTCATTCCTGTTGTTACAAATGTGTTTTATTGTATAATATATTGACTGAGTTAATGTGTTTGTAAATTTACGTGAAAAATTTGAAAAATTAACATTAAATTCAAATTGAACTTAGTATTGATTTACAATATTAAATATACATGTATATTATGATATAAACTAAGGAATATTAATTGACAAGACAACATATATGTATATATATATTGTCTTGTCAATTAACCAATTTTATCTGTTTTACATGCATTTCATAAAATTCAACATTTTATATACAGTTTAACAAACTTCAAGTTATCATTGTTAAATAGTATACATGTACATTACTTAATAGTACATAAACAGTCTTTATTTTAAACAAACTTACGTTTCTTAGCAGTCAATCTGATCTATCTCACTATTAAGACCACTTTTGTCCAGTCCCCAAAGTGGTCTTAATAGTTAGGTTTTACTGTATTTACAATACACATTACATGACCACCTGTGCTTTCTTGACAAATCTTTAACAAAAGAATCAGATACCAACTTACCTCCCACATGAGGGGCACTTGCGTCTCCTGATAAGAGTCGCCATACTCATCTAACTTGCTGGCTAAATATCTAAAACAATAATGTCAACACTTTGAATATCAATTACAATTATGAAGAAAATGTCATATGTATAATAAATTAACAAAAACAAAATATAACATTTCATGAATAGGTTACCTTGATCAAAATAAATATTAATTTACTGCAAATTATATTTCAATCAAACTGTTCTTTCACTTTTGTATATACACAATGTATTACCATTTCATTATCCATTTATTTTACCTTCTTTCTCTCTTCCATCTCTTGATAAGTTTCTTCACATGCTGAATCCTGTTCACAACTTTTTCATTTGCCTGCAATGATTACAAGAAAAAGAAAATAAATAATTAAGAAAATAAAAAAAGGACAACTGCAAATTTTTGAGCATGAATGTTTCAAAAGGGTACTATTAATTTGAACAATTTTCAGCTTTTCTGCTGGGGATGAGAAATTTTTTATAGATAAGTGTGAGATATGTTTTTTAAATTTTCTAAATACTTGAGTACAAATAAGTATATTTTCTAACTGAAACATAAATATATAGTTTGGACATGCAGATACAGACAGAATAGTTCTATACACTCATATTTTAAAGTGTTTGTTACAAAGTACCACACATGACCAGCCTTAGTATATAGACATTCATTAAATATATATTATTTATGCAAACATACAAATTAAATGGATGACACTTTTTGTCTTGGCAATGAATCATCTAAAATCTCATACCGTCAGAATGGAAATTTTATTTTTCATTACTTCTCTATTCAGTTATTTTTCTACCTTGTTTTAACAGCAGAGAGTGCCTTAATAAATTGGGAAAATATAGTTCATTTTGGGAAAATAACTCGCATTTTAGTGAGGGGAAACAGCCTTTTTGTCAGCTGCAAAACAGGTATTACTTCCATCTTCTATCATTTTGTAAACAAAAAATATATACTCAGGTAAATCTGAAGTGTTTTGTTTATTACAAAGGAGACCTATCTATACTAGCCTGTAGGGATCTGGACCTGTCACATAAATGTATATATCCATAATTTTGTTGCCTAAGGAACACCACTCACCACTCTCGGAGGTGTGAAACGTTACGACAGAAAAGACTGATTAATGCTGGGTCCAGTGTTATTTCAAAATTACTTTCTTACCACTTTGTTCTCCTTTCTTCAAATTTTTTCAGGACAAAGGAAATATTTCAACACTGGATACAGTACTTACATACAGACAGATTATTTACCTGTACTGTTATGATATACGCCATTTTAATTTGTGCATTTGAATTTTAATTGAATTTGTGAAATTATTCAACCAGTACTATATTATGTGTGTTCATTTCAAAGGCAAATTTGGATACTTGTTCTTTATACAATTTTTTGCACATCAAATATCCTCCCAGATATAAAATAGTCAATCAATCTGTTCTTGGAAGCCAGTATTTTGTTGTCACCTATCAAGTGAATAAAAATCAACCATGAATAATTGGTCACGTCTCTTTGCATATTTCTTCCCTGTGAAACATGCATATCTTAAATCGTGAAAACAATGATTTTAAAATTATCACTTTTGATGACTGCTTTTGATCTGAATAGGTCGACGACCTTAATGACCATTCATGTGTTGACAGGCCGTTAAGATAGAAGTAATAGTAATTCTAATTTGAATCAACAGGTGAGTTGTTGACCTGTTACCTTATTTTTCATGTTTGTAGTGTGAAAGAAAGTACATTAAGAAATGTGAATTATTTGAGATTACAAGCAATAAACACTTTAATCTGTACCCTTTAGAAAAGGTGCACACATAGGCACCCTCCGTTTTCTTGACACAATTGTTTCCATTGAAAAGTCATTTCCGTTCTTATTGATGATTTTAGGAAAATAGTGCACTTCTGGGATAATGTTAGACTAACTCAAGTGTCTCTGTCAGTGATGTGACCAGAAACGGAAGTGTAGACACGTTTCGATACACATGTCTGTCATTTTAGGCGAGCTTATTTGAGGTCGTACTTATGGATATCTTTTAAAAAGGGCATTTCAATCAGTAACGAAGTTATTTGGTTGTAACTCATCGATGTAGCAATGCTACCGAGATACGATTAATAAAGGGTCCGAAACTAATGCGCAAAATATACCCTCCCTACATGATCTGATTATTTCATATCTTGTGTACAAATGTGTACTGACTAATGTAAACAGTAGTCAAACAATATATCCATTTGAAGGTTCATCTCGTGGTTTTTAAACTTTTATTATGGAATGGAATATCCAAGTTATTGTTGAACATGGACAGTGAAACAGCTAAAAGTTAGACAGGAAAGAGACAACAAATTCTTCGAAATTGATTAACCCAAAATCATCATGTTTCACGCTGTTTTAACTCAGTGTTTAGAAACAGCGTAAAGAAAATACCTGTTGCAGTTGTTCACATTTCTTCCTTAGTGAAAAATACTTCTTCAGAAACGCATTTTCATTCGCTAGCACCGCTAGCTGCGCTTCAAGACCTTCCGACATTTTGATATAGGGGAGACCACTCCAATATGACTCGGTTATATAGTTACAGTCCGGCACGGCCTGGATTTCCATGCACAGTCCGCCACCGCCCGGTACCATCCGGGAACCATGTATTGGTCGCCCGGGCTTTCAATATAATAATCAAGATATGGAGCAAAATCTGTCCGAGTCATTGGTATAAGAAATCAGTGATGTCGCTACAATTCGCCTTACATCTTGTTATTTGCAATACCAGGTCCGCCCGGGTTTTTATTTCTATTCACGTATTGTTAAATCTTTTTACTATACGTGCATGTATATAAAAATAAAATCACAATCCAGATATGATAAAATATTTTAAATTGACCGAATCATTACCATTTGAAATCATCGACATTGCAACAATGCGCTCGCATTTTGTTATTTCTAAAGCCGGAGCCACCCGGGCTTTTATTTCAATTCAAGTATTGTTTTAAACAAATGCCTTACATACGTATATATGAATAAAATTGATATCTTTATCCAGAAATGATGAAAAAATATTTTGAAATGACAACGTTTTGCTACTTGAAATCATAGTATCGTAACAATGCGTTCGCATCTTTTTATTTGTAATGCCGGTGTCATATCATATTTGTATCCCCATCAGAAAAGGATCCGTGGATCGCTTTTCCCCCATAAGAAAAGGATCCCCCCTATAGTATTTTGATCCCCCTTGTGAATTTTATTTTAAACTTTATAGCTTTATAAATAAAATGAGATATGATAGGTAACTGTGTCTGGGACTTGGTACCTGGATTACCTGTACAGGTGTGATAGCAAAAGCTGAAGAGGTCAAGCTCCAGATTACCCTGTACAGGGGCTTAAATGATGACTGCATACATAATTACTCTATATATAACCTGTCCCAAATATACTTCATGGAAAATAAGTTTATGTATGTGTGGCAGTGTCAATTTTACTTTTATCTATTTATATATATTTTTATAAATGTACTTGTCCAACCGGTTTGTTTTGTCAGTGTATGTTCTAAGAATTTCTCACCCGTGTTTTGTTATGTAAATGTCTTGTCACGTGATTACATGCTTGTTCGTGCACCTGTATGTTCTGTATCGTTATTCACGCGCTGGACAGAGACATGGACAGTCGCAATTATATGTAGCTACGTACGGATGACTGTGGTGGCAAAAATACATTTTAAAATAGTAAGTATTTGAAATATCATTTAATTATTTTAAATGATAATGTTAGTTAACTTTTACAGCATTAGTATTTTCGTATTTATTGAAATATTTGAAGAAATTGAAATATCTCTTTGTGGTTTTTTCATTATTCCTTTTGTAATGGGAATAGTAATTTTTGCAGAATTATCTTAAAGAAATTTATTACAAATATAGTTAATTACGTTTTGTTGTTTTTCTTTCAACAGAACCATAGATCATTTTATTGTAAAAAAGGATGTTATCTCTTGAGACCCCTGTCAGATTGATAGGGTAGGTATATTATGTATATATATTATTTAACTATTAACTACATCTGTGTAATACAAATGGTAAATCCTAAAGTTTATCATGTGTTGGCATTGGATATATATATTTTGATGAATTCGTAAAGTTTAGTGTAACCGTTACGGGAAATATAAATATGTGTAAAAAGTAAAGTTGACTCCATGTCCAGTGTATAACATACAGTGCGTAGTTTGTAATATGTCTTATACATGAACTTATGTTTTATTTGTGTTATTGTAGGGTCTTTTGGTGCGTCTAAATAAATGTATGAAAAGAATGAATCCAGCGTTATTTTATAAAACACTGTAGCATTGGAACCCGGCTACATATGCATGCATGTAGACTTCTGCATATATATGCGCAAAGGGAAAATTAACAGTTGACCTAAAAGGATGTATTTTGATGAAAGAGAGATTTTAGGGTCAATAATTATAAACAAAGAGACATACAATAAGAAAGTAGTATCTAGATACTATTCTGATAGCTATCATATATTGATCCCCACTTTATATCTCATCATATACCTCTAGATGCTATTCTGATGGCTATCATATATTGATCCCCCCTTATATATCATCATACCCCCCTGGATACTATTCTGATAGCTATCATATATTGATCCCCACTTTATATCTCATCATACCCCCCTAGATACTATTCTGATAGCTATCATATATTGATCCCCCTTTAAATCTCATCATACCCCCACTAGATACTATTCTGATAGCTATCATATATTGATACCCCTTTAAATCTCATCATACCCCCCTGAATACTATTCTGATAGCTATCATATATTGATCCCCCCTTATATCTCATCATACCCCCCTAGATACTATTCTGATAGCTATCATATATTGATCCCCCTTTATATCTCATCATACCCCCAAGATACTATTCTGATAGCTATCATATATTGATCCCCCTTTAAATCTCATCATACCCCCCTGAATACTATTCTGATAGCTATCATATATTGATCCCCCCTTATATCTCATCATACCCCCATGAATACTATTCTGATAGCTGTCATATATTGATCCCCCCTTATATCTCATCGTACCCCCCCTGGATATATTCTGATAGCTATCATATATTGATCCCCACTTTATATCTCGTCATACCCCCTGGATACTATTCTGATAGCTATCATATATTGATCCCCTCTTTATATCTCATCATACCCCCCTGGATACTATTCTGATGGCTATCATATATTGATCCCCTTTATATCTCATCATACCCCCCTAGATACTATTCTGATAGCTATCATATATTGATCCCCCTTTATATCTCATCATACCCCACTAGATACTATTCTGATGGCTATCATATATTGATCCCCCATTTAAATCTCATCATACCCCCCTGAATACTATTCTGATAGCTATCATATATTGATCCCCCCTTATATCTCATCATACCCCCATGGATACTATTCTGATAGCTGTCATATATTGATCCCCCCTTATATCTCATCATACCCCCACTAGATACTATTCTGATGGCTATCATATATTGATCCCCCTTTATATCTCATCATACCCCCCTGGATACTATTCTGATAGCTATCATATATTGATCCCCCCTTATATCTCATCATACCCCCATGAATACTATTCTGATAGCTATCATATATTGATCCCCCTTTAAATCTCATCATACCCCCCTAGATACTATTCTGATAGCTATCATATATTGATCCCCCTTTATATCTCATCATACCCCCCCCCTAGATATATTCTGATAGCTATCATATATTGATCCCCCTTTAAATCTCATCATACCCCCCTGAATACTATTCTGATAGCTATCATATATTGATCCCCCCTTATATCTCATCAGACCCCCATGAATACTATTCTGATAGCTGTCATATATTGATCCCCCCTTATATCTCATCGTACCCCCCTGGATATATTCTGATAGCTATCATATATTGATCCCCACTTTATATCTCGTCATATCCCCCTGGATACTATTCTGATAGATATCATATATTGATCCCCTCTTTATATCTCATCATACCCCCCTGGATACTATTCTGATGGCTATCATATATTGATCCCCTTTATATCTCATCATACCCCCTGGATACTATTCTGATAGCTATCATATATTGATCCCCCCTTATATCTCATCATACCCCCATGGATACTATTCTGATAGCTGTCATATATTGATCCCCCCCTTATATCTCATCATACCCCCACTAGATACTATTCTGATGGCTATCATATATTGATCCCCCTTTATATCTCATCATACCCCCCTGGATACTATTCTGATGGCTATCATATATTGATCCCCCTTTATATCTCATCATCATATACCTCTAGATGCTATTCTGATGGCTATCATATATTGATCCCCTTTATATCTCATCATACCCCCCTGAATACTATTCTGATAGCTATCATATATTGATCCCCCCTTATATCTCATCATACCCCCCTAGATACTATTCTGATGGCTATCATATATTGATCCCCCCTTTATATCTCATCATACCCCTCAAGATACCATTCTGATGGCTATCATATATTGATCCCCCTTTATATCTCATCATACCCCCTGGATACTATTCTGATAGCTATCATATATTGATCCCTCTTTATATCTCATCATACCCCCATGAATACTATTCTGATAGCTGTCATATATTGATCCCCCCTTATATCTCATCGTACCCCCCTGGATATATTCTGATAGCTATCATATATTGATCCCCACTTTATATCTCGTCATACCCCCCTGGATACTATTCTGATAGCTATCATATATTGATCCCCTCTTTATATCTCATCATACCCCCCTGGATACTATTCTGATGGCTATCATATATTGATCCCCTTTATATCTCATCATACCCCCCTGAATACTATTCTGATAGCTATCATATATTGATCCCCCCTTATATCTCATCATACCCCCATGGATACTATTCTGATAGCTGTCATATATTGATCCCCCCCTTATATCTCATCATACCCCCACTAGATACTATTCTGATAGCTATCATATATTGATCCCCCTTTATATCTCATCATACCCCCCTGGATACTATTCTGATGGCTATCATATATTGATCCCCCTTTATATCTCATCATCATATACCTCTAGATGCTATTCTGATGGCTATCATATATTGATCCCCCTTTATATCTCATCATACCCCACCCCAACCTCTCTAGATATATGTACTATAGTTTTTTTACTTGTATGAAACATGTTCCTATATGTTATAAATATCAATATCCTTTTAAGATGCATATCTATAAACTCATATTTTTAACTATTAAAAAAAGAAACCAGTTTATCCTAGATGTTTGTCTTTTGAAGTCTCATGCAGCATGCCGATACATTAAGTCAATAAGTAGTGAATTAATTACATAAATTAAGAATACGTAATAGTCATAATTTTAGTGTTCATTAGTGTTTGGCTTTTTATCTAAAAGATCATTATATATATATATATATATATTGAAAAAAACTTGATTTGACGAGATGCGA